CCAACGGCAGCACCTGGGAGCGCTCGCGCTCGCATTCAACGGTGGCTGGGTGGGCGCGCCTGCGCCCTCGCCTCTCTTACGCTCCCCGCCCACAACTTCTCCGGCTCGATCAGGGAGGATCCAAGGCCTCCCAGCGAGCACCGCGCGCACGCGCGCCCTCAAGAGTTTCTAGCGGCTCGCACGTGACACGGAGCGCACGCCTGCGTAGAGAGGCATTATATACACTGACACACACATAGCACAACGCCGCCTCCTAGTCGCGTGCCTGCCCCCTCTCCCGACTCCCTATTTTTTTTTGCCTCCTCCCCTTGACTTACTTCCGATTTCCCTTCCCACAACTTCCGGCCCCCTTTCCTTCCATCTTCACGGGATCCTTTTCCGGGTTCGCTCCCAGCGCGGGGCATTGTGGGAGGCAACCTTTTTCTCCCTCCCCCCTCCTTCAACCCAGCAAGCTCCCTTGGGGCGCATGCGCAGTGACAGCCTCCCATCTTTCTCCCAGCCAGAGCCAGAGAGCCTCAGCAGCAGCAGCAGCAGCTGATGATGAAGAAGAGAGGGAAGGGGGAGACTGGGGGGACCTTTTATTTATATTGTTAAAGGGACAGAGCACTAATTCCACCTTGAATTGGCTTGCGGGGAGGGTTTTGGCCTGATAAGGTTGAGTTTCTCCCCCACCCCCAGCCTAGCTAGAGGATTCCCGGAGAGACACAGGGAGAGCAGGAGAGTTTCTTCCCCCGCTTTGGCCGTCAGAGGAAAGAGAAAAGAGACCCAAAGCCTCTTAGCAACACAGTCCCCGTCTTCTCCTCCTCTACTACTCTTGCTGCTGCTTCTGCCGCCGCCGCCGCCGCCGTTGCTGCTTTTTTGGCCCTGGCTGGAGACACTTCTCTCTCACACGTTTCGCTTTTTTTGGCCCTAGCGGGAGACACTTCTCTCTCACACACACACATACACACACATACACACAGAGGAGGAACAGCAGCAGCCAGTTCACCAGCTCTCTCCCTGTCTCCCCCCCATCCCCCTGCTCTCCCCTCCTCCCCCTTTATTACCCTTTGTGTGTGTCTCTCCACTGCTCCAGGAAAGGAAATAAAAGTGGGGTGCAGCCAAGGTAAGCCTATCCGTGTATGGGAGAGGGAGGCAGGGAGCCTTCTCTGGCTTCACAAATTCCACTCTGGAGCCGAGCAGATCTTTGGGGGGGGGGAGGGAGAGGAGGGTGTTTGCTAGATTCGCCCCTCTTTTCTTGCTGACTTTTCCAGGATAGGATCAGTTTTGAGGGAGGGGGGGTGTAGAAAAGTGGCCGTTTCCAGCCTTCATCTTCAAGGGCTGCATCTTGAAAGGTGCTAATACTGTGCTTTATTTCTGTGATGCGTTTGTGAGGTTCTTACTCACTAGTTGGATGTAAGGAGATTTCTTGTGCCATGTTGTCTCTTAGTTTAATGTCTTCCTTCATGATAGCCAAGTGCCATAGGTTTGGGGGTTTATTTTTGGTCTTGGCGTATAGTTAGTGCTCTCAGGCTCTAACTGGTCATTCTTTTCATTAAAAGGATTTTATCAATTCTGGGTGATCTTGAGAAGTTTCGCCTGCAGTGTGTAGAGAGACAGATGTTGTATCAAAATGTGTCTTAGAAAAAGCTTTCCATGCTTATCCACTCTGAAGTGTTATTGGAATACTTTGTTGTTGAATGTTTGCAATATGAAATTGAAAGCTTGGTTTTAAAATATACAGTATATATCTTGCATTTCCTTTGATCTTTCAAGTCCTCACCCTGCACACATTTTTATATTCATTATTAGACAAAATAATGTTCTACATCTTATGTATACTTATTCTTCATGAATGGATCAGGATCTAAACAGTACCATGTAAAGTAGTTAATCTCAAATTTTGAAATAATTTAGCATCCATTAGTTTTCAGTTAAGAGTTCTCATTTGTTTTTATTAAGTAGCTAAGAATCAAAATTCCCTAAGAGGGGGCTGATATTACAGGATGAACATTTAAATCCTGCCTTAGTGTTTTAGGTACAACCACTACTGATACAGAGAAGTAGTTATTTTTCAAATGTCTCTAGGATCACAGCTTGACCACTTTTCAGCTCCAGATTTAGTTCTAAGTTGCAGAAGTGGAGAAGGAGCGAAATATGTGAACTGTTACAAGTCTGAGTTGTTACAGCTTGAGCAGCTGACTTGTGGAGTCCTTGTCTTTGTGTTTTTTATCCCAAAATAGTTTGGGTAAAATAAGAGGATATTCTGCTGTGCCTACAAGGTGTGTTTGAACTGCGGTATGTGCACAGATGGCCTGTGTATTTCAATAGGCCAGGAAATCTGACCAAAGCAACATGCAGCTTGATGTGTGCTCCTTGTTTTACTGTCTGAAGTAAAGTCAACAAATAATTCTTGTCCTCTGAATTATGTCTCCTGTAATACGATTTATTGCCAAAGGGTATATTTTCTGAAATTGCTTAGAAACGATTTTGTAGAATAAGGGCTTTTAAAATCAAGTCAGAGATGATTGGTGAAAAGAATTTTTGGAAAGGCACTTGGACACATATATTATGGAAAAGCATGAACTACAACTTTGAAAAATTGCTCATCTCCTGTTTTCAAAGTGTGAAAGTAAGGAGATGTGCTCTCTGAAGAACAGAACAACTGAAATAATATTTCTTTATATGAGCATCATATATTAAACAGGGCGTCTTTTTAGCTTTAAAAAGCTGGGTGCTCTCAGATAAAACTAATTTGAGGATACCATGTTATAGGACAATGTTTTGTTGTGTTACCATTTTTGTTTCTTTTAGGGAACATCACACACATGAAAAATTGAATTTGGTTGGCAAGTATAATTTCAAGTATTGCTTTGACTTAAGCTCTTTCAATGCCTGAGCAGAATTCATTAGTACACAGAAGGAATTATTTTTATTTCAGAAGTGACTGGGTAGTTTTAAGGCTAGAAAAATAATATAGTTTGTTAGTTCATTACAGAATTTGATCTTTTAAATGTTGTAATCAACATTTCTAGCTATATGTGCATTTGCAAAGGATTCAGTGGAACTTACCTTATTAGATTGAATTTAATGGGTTTGTGATTATGTTTTAATACTGACTTTTGGCTATGTGTATTTGAGAGTAAGGCCCAGTTAACTCCACAAAATTTATTTAGAAGTCAACTATTCCTTATTTAATATAATTGTTTATAATATTTATATAATGCTCAATATGAAGGAAACCCAGTGTGATTTAATGGATAAAATGTTGGTCTAGGATGCAAGGGACCTGGGTTTGAATTCCTACTCAGTGGCAAGCCACACCAACATCTTACAGACCTCAAAAGCCCTGTTTTGGTTGCCATAAGTCTGAAGCCCTTAACAATAACAATCTAACCATTTTCATAATGAATCCGATATGTGAAATAAGACACATATACTACAGCTGCAAAGAGATATTTACTAATAAACAAATGTGTAAAATTATTTCTTGTTAACAAGTTGCATTGGTAGAGCCCTTCCCCAAGCTACAAATATACTCAGGTTCTGATACTGTACTTGGGTCCAGGGGACCGTCAAATTATAATACTTACACAGACGGAAACAAGATTGTAACAGTCTTTGCATGGAAAGGTTCTCAGGTTCAGTCATTGAAACCTCCAGGTAGATTGGAAAAAATCTAATGTACTCTTGTGTGTGGTTTCAGAGCACCACCTAAAGTGTTCGTTTTGACTTATGAAGTCCTAAATGGCTTGGATCTAGATCTCCCATTGTGAGCTTGCATGGATTTTAAGATCAGTGGGAGAGGTCTTCTCTCCATCTCATCACCTTCACAGGTGCGTTTGGTGAGGACACAAAAGGGGGCCTTCTCTGTCACTGCTCCCAGGCTGATGAATTGCATCCCACAAGGAGGTCAGGCTGGCCTCCTCTGTACTGTCCTCCTACAGGCCTGTCCTTCTATAGGCAGGCAAAGACCTTTCAGGCAGGTCTTTTCTCAGTAACTGGCTGCCTAAGAGAGGGGCTGCTGTTCCCTCCCCCTTTTCTGTTTTAATATTGTAAGGTGCCTTGGGTCTTTTGAGGAGAAAAGCAGGGTGTAAATATTTTAAACAAATAATAATAAATAAGATTTTTGCCTGGAAAAGGAGACCCCTGGTACAGCAACCTTTGCAGAAGGGTTGTATAAGGAAGTCATAAAGAAGTACTTGTGAATTGTCTTAAGACAGTCTTGTCCAAACTTGGGATTCCAGAGAATCTTGTATTACAGCTCTCAGAACCCATGGTTGTTGGTTGTGCTGGCTAGCTCTTGTCAGTGTTTTACTTCAGAAATAGCTGGGCCCCTGTGTTTGAGAGTCATTGATCTAAGGCTTCATCTGTATGAGAAAATGATTTATTCTAACATTAAAATAGCTTAAGAAATGCTTCATCATATGCTCTTGTATAATCTTTGAAATGCTTCTTGGAGATCATATGTACTCAGTAATAAGAACTGTACACTATGTTTGTCGTAACTAGGACTGCATAATAAACATGCTGAGAATTACAGGAATAATGCTAATGATACTTAAATAGTATGACTTACTGCAGTTGAGAGTGCTGTGTCAGTTCAGTCAAAACATCTCCCAGACTGATCCTGTGCACTTGACCAGTCAAAAGTCAACTTGTTGAATTCTTTGTGCATTTACTCAGGAGTAAGATCCACTGACATATGTGGGACCTATTTCCAAATAAATATGGATAGGATGTGCATGTTCAGATTCTACAAGCATCCTAGTTTCTCTTTTCTGTAACAAGTATGGAATTGACTCAGGTGCTGTCTTTGTCAGTATATTGTTCTTGTAACAATGCTATTTATCATGCAACACTAGTTTTTCTGATGATTCACCTCCTGGGAGTGTTTGTGTGTAGCTTCTGCAAACATTGGAAGTAAGCCAAATTTATTTTGTGTGTAAATAAACTGCTGTTGGGTCAGTCCTTGAAGAGAAAACTGTCCTGGTAGATCTTGCACACGTAACCCTATTAGGTGTCTGTTTTGTGGTTAAATTTAAAGTACAAGTAGGCATTATGTTTTCTAAAAGTTTATTGGCTTTTAGAAAGCCAATAAACTTTTGTTTAGTGTTCTCATAGATGACAGCTTCAGTAATACATTGAAAGTTATGTTATGTAAGTCATACAAGAGAAAACAAATAGCATCCAATAGCAAATGGTGTTGTTTTCAAGTCTTTTGGTAATGTTGTCTTGGAGAGCAAAAATCCTAACACTTCTAGCAATGTAGGGGCTCTTAACGGGATCATCATATTGATACAGAAACTTAATATTTCCAGTTTACCTTTTCTTAAAGTAATCTAATCACAAATGACTCAGAAAAGGTTCATAGGCTACAAGCAAGTCCACCTAGTGCATGCCTGGAAATCCTTTGGCTGATTACGTGC